TATGCCGGCTCAGTCTCTTGGAGGTGCTGATAGGGGTAGGCGTGCAATGTGTGCGTTTGTAGGGGTGTGCGCGTGCGTGTTGATATGAGCACTTGCATCTGTACTGTGTTAAAAAACATGCTTAGTGTGCACCTCCTAGATTTTTTTCATAAATGATTCAATTAGAATATATATATATATATATATATATATATATATATATATATATATATATATACATATATATATATTGTGTGTGTGTGTCAATTAAAGCATGATAATGTTCAAACATTCCAAAAAAATAGCATGTTCAAATGACATGATGTGGATGATGGAAAATGGATTGATGGAGTCGGTGGCAAAGACGGGGGAGATTTCGGGGCTGTTTGGTTTCCAGCCACACTTTGCCACACTTCACCATAGGCAAATTTGACCAAGTTAGGTGGGTGTTTGGTTCTAGCCACACCCAAGGCAAGGAATTTTATATGAGCAGTGAGCCCCACATATTATAGACACAAAAAGTGTGGCCAGATTCCTTTAGGCAATCCAAAGTGTGGCTAACAATTTGAGCAACTCAATTTAGGCAAGTGTGGCAATAATAATGTGGCAACACAAGGCAAATATAGTCACAATCCAAGCAGCCCATTCGCCTCCACAAAACCTTTAGGATGACGAACAACGATGGGGGTAGCTCTCCTTTATATGAAAAGAATATGTGATAAATTTTATGGAGGTAAGGAGGACAAGGGCATCGTATATCCAAAAGGAGTGGTCGAGGCGCCATATGGGCCCCACGCGGATCCCCATGGGTGTCCCTCCTTAGTGCGCATGCCCCGTGGGCCTCCCTAGAGTCCATCTATGGGAGGGGCCCTTTCCCTTCGATAACTTGCACGGAAGTGTTATTTCTGGACTTGTATTCCTACACAATATTAAACACGATTTTACATTTGTTGAGAAAAACAAACGCCGGTGCCTTTAGCTTTCACTCACTTTGGCAGCTTAGGTGACAAAAACTAAGCAAAAATGTTCAAGAAAGTAGATACAACTAGGAGGTATGTATCACCATTGCTTTGGTGATGCTACTATTGAACTTATGAACCCCGTTCCAATTAATTTCCTATGTAAGAAACCTTCTTAAAACCCATGTAGATGCTCATCTATTTTTTTGTAATTAAATTAATTAATTAAAAAATTATGAAAAGCACTTCTATCAATATTATATGCTCATAATTAGTTGTGATTGGCAAGGCTAGTGAGATTGACAAACCTCACTAGAGCTGTCACCCACCGTATT